TTCGCTATTATATCTTTATTATTATTATAATTTAGGCATCTTTAATGGACTGTAATTGCATTGATCATACTTTACAAATCGATATTATTTTTTAAAAAACACTGATATTGTTATTGACTACTATTCTAGAATATTCTATGTATATAAACATATATAGATATATATATTTGTAGAGCCGGAGGAGGAATTTACCGAAAAGAATATTCTTTGCTTGATTATTTTGTGTAATAAATTCGTTGTTGGCGAGAGTCTCTACCACCGCTGAATATTGTGTTCATAAAAAAGACTCATCTTTGTGTTTGTTTATACACGCACGAAGAAGACGATAAAGATATACAAATGCAAACAGGATGTTTTTAAAATAAAAAAATCGATATTTTCTATTGATTTTATTCAGATACAAAATATATATAAGTTATATCAGAAATTAAAAAAAAGAAAAGAAAAAACGAATAACTGAAGTCATTATCACCATCATGAAATTAGGATAGAAGTTAGCAATCATACGCGCATAATCGATAAGCCATGAGGCTAAAGTATGCATTTATTCTGCTTTAGATATGAGTACTCTTCAACATGTAAGTAGTCCATGTAAGCGTTCGTATAGACACACATTTGAAGAATTGTATAAGAAAAAAGATGACGTAATTAATGTATTTTGTGCAACTCAATCTGTTGGAATCAATCAATCACCGTCAGTGTCGGGTATACTGTTCACACACACACACTGAGGGACTCGAACCCACACTGTTACTGGGATTAACGTGAACGGGCAATTTCAGCAAAATAATTTTGTAAATCATTCACTGTAAATTCTAAGCATATTCCTGAATCTGGATAACATTGTTGTATTAAATTGCTGAAGCGTAAACATTGAGTCATAAATTCTGTTTGTATTGAACGCCAGACAACCTGACAAAGAGAGAGAGAGAGAGGAAAAAGGAGAGCGGGGGGTCATCAGTATAAAGTATAATTGGTGGTGAGTTTGAAATTTTGGCCTACTAGCACCTACCACTCAAGAACAACCTCCATCATTGTATATCGCACAGACTTTCTATTAGTCAGTTGGTTTAAATCTAGTAAGCATATGACCTCTAATAGTAGCTTGAATAAAGTATAATTATTTTGGTGTGGTTGTGTTCTCTGAGCTGGATGGTTTGGTTGCGAAGCTTTCATTGCTCTACTGAGCAACATCTTCAGCGCATACTTCGATGTGAAGTGAGCTTTTAGAATTCTCTATGAGTTTATTAGTCATCTCTCCTAGTAACCCTGAACGTGATTGGTTGTTTTCGTGTGACATTTCACCCCCTAGTGTGCATCGGTGGCACAGCGGTTAGGACGCTCGCCGACCGTTCACGTGGTCCGGGGTTCGAACCCCGGCCGACACACTCCTTTACCTCGCTAAGCCAGAAATAATGCTGGTGAAGAGGAAAGGTTGGGCACGAGACTAGCAACCCCATCCTGTAAAATAAACACTGCTACAGAAACTTCAAGCCACAAGCTTGAAGCCCTATGTTCCACTGGGGAACGTGAAGGATAAAAAAAAAAGAAACTGTCGACTGTATAACTGTTGACTTTCTATCAAATTTCAAGCAAACTAGGGGGTGAAATGTCACACGAAAACAACCAATCACGTTCAGGGTTACGAGAAGAGATGACTAATAAACTCATAGAGAATTCTAAAAGCTCACTTCACATCGAAGTATGCGCTGAAGATGTTGCTCAGTAGAGCAATGAAAGCTTCGCAACCAAACCATCCAGCTCAGAGAACACAACCACACCAAAATCATCCACCTGAGCTACAAATCTTCTCTATTATATCTAAAGTATAATTATATTTCAATAGTTTACACACAATGATAAGTTTTTGATATCAGTGATATTTCGAGAAAAATTACTACTGCCCGTGTTCACACCGGGAGTTGGAATTGTTTTGTTTATTAATTCACACATTTATGATTTGTACTCATATACATTTTCGGTCATTCATGTTTTTGTATTCAGAATGATATTCCAATTTGTTGACAGTTGTACTGCCAAGTCAATCTTGTTACATGTATCCAGCGTGTGGCTTTAATGAATATAGTTTCTGTTATAAGTCTCTCTTCCCATTTGTTCATGTTAGTTCATGTATTAGAATACAAACATTGTTCCAATCGATATTGTGGTTTTTGTCCCATGCTGCATGTACAGCTATAGATGATTTTTTTTTCTAAATTTTTGTAAGTTTGTGTTCCTTCCAGTTGGTTGACCTTTAGTTAGGCAAGCGTTTATGTTTATTCATTCTAATATTTTCAGTGATCTGGACGTTTGACCCACATATATTTAGTCGAACATTCGGCACAAGATATCTGTTTGTAAATCACATTGTTTTTATCCATCATTTTTGTGGGATCTTTCAGTTGATTTATTTTATTTTTAATTAGATTTGTCGGTTTAAAAGTTGTGTGAATGCCGATATTTTTGAGGTTTCTTTGAATTGCCTCTGATGTACCATTTTTATATGGTATTGTGACTGTTTGTTTGCATTCTTCCATCTTGCCATTCTCCAGTTTTACCCTCAATTTTCTCTTTTTTATATTATCTTTGGTAAATTCTTTTGGGTAGTTGTTGTCGATTAACATTTTGAATAGGACGTTTATTTCTTTACTCTGGTCCCCTGATGTTGTTTTAAGTCGTCTACGTATTCTATCTGCCAGATCTTGTATTAATCCTCGTTTTACTGTGAGTAGATGAGCTGAGTGATAATCAAGGAATCTTCCAGAGTGTGTGGTTTTTCTATATAGCGTCGTTTTTATGCTACCATCTGTTACTCTTTGTATTTTGCAGTCTAACATAGGCAGTTCCCCAATTTCATTCTCTATTTCCATAGTGAATTTTAATGAGTCGACATGACTGTTTATGTGTGAGATGAATTTCTCAATATCGCTTTTTTCATTATTACTAACGTGTCGTCTACATATCTCCACCAACATTTTCTTGATGACCTGAATGGTTTATTAAGTGCATTCTCTTCCCAAAAATCCATGAATATGTTGTCAGCTATGATTGGTGAAATGGGCGATCCCATAGCTACTCCTCCTTCATTTTGTTGGTATATTTTTCCTTTAAATGTGAAATATGTTGTTGTCAGACAGAATTCCACCCCTTTTATTATCTCTTCTACGGATAACTGTGTTCTGTCTTTTAGGCCATTATCTTCTTTTAGTCTCGTTTTCAGTAGCATATATTGTTTACTCTGGAGAGTATTCAAACACATTTAAAACCTGCTCACTAGCAAGTTTCTACTAAACGGGTGAGAGAAAAGCATTGTGGATCAAAATTTATTTTAATAAAGTCTCACAGTGTGCTATACAGTAATATTTACTGTTGACCACATTTCGAGCACAATTTATCATTGCTACTCATAATCACATAAAGTCACTGCATTTTATTGCACGTGTTGGGTGTAGACTCGATGAACCAGGATTCAGTAATCAACCTCTCTCTCTCACTCGCTCCACCTATACACCTATATTACTTACTTCTTAGAATTCTAACCCTCTCCTTCCCACCCTATTTTGTGTGATTGCGCGTTGTTAATGCATGCAGTGCAATGTGGTACTGAGCTCTCTTCTAAATTACTTATCTTCGCGAGTGGGGTCACCCATTCTAACCTTAGCCACTAAATTCGTATCTTCTCACAGACAATCGAACTACCCCACTCGATGTACTATGTAGACTGACCTATGTAGTTAGTAGTTGATTTAACTCACAGTCATTGCAAAGTATTTTTTAGGGTTGTTTGACCTACAGAAGTGGGTTTGTCCTACTTGACTGACTTTCTAGTTGTTTGCATGCCACCACTCTAATTCCTGCTTTATTAAGAATCTTACGTGGGGAGGGTCTCAGATTTCCCCTCCTTCCTTATATGCTAGAACCACTGTATATGCCCCTTTTAAGCATAAGTTTCTTGAAATATGCTCTGAAAAGGAAGTAGATATTTACAAAGTGCAATCACCAGACACCCACTATGTGGATACAGGTCATTTTGTCCAGATTTCCAAATACTTCAAAATATTAAACACACAAAGGATAGCGAATCTACTACGATTTGCTGAAGCAATTGCAGTCAAACGTTTCAGACCAAACTTATGCACACAGACAGAGAGAGTGTAGTCAATCTCTCACTCCCTTGGTAACCGTATCACTTTCATTACACTGATTAGTCATACACACTAGTGAGCTCAGCTAAACTCACTGAGCAAGTTTTCAATTTGATGAACTTTAACCTTCTTGATTTGCCATGTTGACGTACAAGCTAACACTTTTTATTAGATTTTCCTGTTTTCTCTCTTCTCTCACCCCCCCCCTCCTTTTTTCATAGTTTGATAGTATATGAATTGATGGTGACTTAAAATAAAAATTGTAATTCTTACAATATTCCGGATACGCTCATCTTATAATGTTTTCTCTATTACCTTTCAAACATTGAAGTATGAAATGTTATTATTTATAGTCATTGTAATTTCAGGTAGTGTTCGCAGTTAGCTGATGAGAACCTGTGAAATAGAATGATGATATCACATTTCACACTGCAAATCTTGTCTTTCTTTCTCTCTCTCGAAATTTATCAAGGGAACCAAATGTATGACAACAAAGCCTGCATAGTCAACTATACCAATACCAGTGTACATACACATCCAAGCTATATAGAAAACCATTTCTTCTGAGGAATTCTAAGAAGCCATGGAACAAGCAACAGCTGATAGCTGAAGCGATGATGTGCTCAGTCTCGAACGAGCAGAATGGCCTTTCGATGTTTAGATCCCTTCGATCAGCCTGGCTAGCTAGTCACACTGGTTGTAAATGTGAGCAGCGGTCCTAACTACTTATATCAATCAATTAATCAATCAATGAATAAATCAATCAATCAATCAACCAGTAGTATATAAGCACCATTAATCATCAAGATAATTTTCAATAGATTAACAATGGAAAAAGCAAGGCGGGAAACTTACAGGGAATAAATTCTCTTCATCGGATAAATGTTTTTCAACTTTTTTACATAAACTCTCTAAACCACGTTTAACCTAAAAACATATAAAAACAAAAGAAATGAATGCTCACAATGACACATAGAAAGATTAAAAGACTAACTACAGTCATTCGGTAACGAATGAGCCTATTGATTACAATTATTATTATTACTTATAATTATTGCCTTGGGTTGCGAGTGGAAAATAGGTCTTAAACAACACATTTCCACTTGGTTCGATTTGTTGCTGTCCTCCTCTTGGTGCTAATTATTTCTGGCCATCTTCAGTATGGGAAGAGGGAAGGCAGAAGCTCTTGATAAGCGTCTTCAGTAGGCTACTGGAAATGCTTTTGCGTGACACACTCTGTAAGTGTCTGACTCACAAAGAATCTTGTTCCTTATGCTGAGTACAGAAGATTTCCAAAATGATTTTAGATTGATAAAAGTCTTTCCTTATTATTATTATTTCTTTTAATTCCTAGAGGAATATAGGGCTTCAGCCAAACGTCTCCATTGCGTTCGGTTCTCCACCGATGTTTTCATCTGGCTCCACGTCTGCCCACATGTTCTAATCATCTCCTCTTCACATGACCTCCTCCAAGTCACCTTCGCACTCACGACCAACTCGCCGCTTCCCACCCAGGTTCTACTCAAGCGATGGCCTGGCGTGTGATGTCACTTGATGGTTTCCTCAGAGTATGACCAGCCAATCCATCTCCATTTCTTCCTGCCTATTTGCTTCACAATCGGTTCCTGTTTGGTTCGCTCCCAGAGATCTCTGTTGCTGATCTTTTCTGGCCATCTGATCTTCAGTAGTATAGAGCGAAGAGAGCTGTTGATGAAGGTCTGAAGTTTGTTTGAGATGCTCTTTATAACGCGCCAAGTCTCTGATCCGTATGATGAGTAGCACTGACTTCACATTGGAGTTGAAAATTCGGATCTTATTTTTGATGCTGAGTGTTGTTGACCTGCACACAGACTTGATAGTAGTGAAAGCTTGTCTTGATTTCCCGATCCTGGCTGCTTTGATATCCTCGTCAGTTCCGCCTGTAGTTGAAACGATGCTTCCCAGGAAGTAAAAGAGGTTGTTTCTTTAAGATTCCTCCCATTTATACTTACCTTGTCTCTGCGATTTTTCAGTTCTGACATCTTCATCCGTGTTGTCGCCTATAGTTCAAACAATGCTGCCTAAGGAGATAATTGAAGTGACCTCTTTCAAATGCCTTCTATTGATAGTGACTGGTGCTTGTTGTCTACTTTGCTGTTGGTTAATTGGCTGTTAACTTATCTTGTATTCCGTAATTATTTCCGCCCTTCCTATACCTTACATTCATGAAAAGAAAAGAAAAGGAAATACTTTAGAAAATACAACAGAACTTACTTCTTTCCCAGGATATTCTTTAATCACTTTACGTAATTCTTGTTTACTAAAGGCAAATTGATAACTGACAACTTCTGGTCGTACGCCGGCCTCTAAAGCGCTTTGTACATTTTCAAAGAAACTCTACAGATTGTGTAAATCAAGAAAGAAAAACAATGACAGGAAAAAAAGTGTTAATAGATTAGCCCAAAGTTTAAAGATCACATGCAGTAATACCTAAAAACTTTCCATATAAAATATTTTCTTAAAAAGGACAGTGTTTCTAACATTCTTCTCACAGTTCTCTTCTTCTTCGATTGCCTTTTTTTTCAGTGCCCCAAAACATATTGTTACTTTTTTGAATTCGTTTACTGATATACTACTTATATCTGATTATAAGTAGCACTCACCATAGTAGTAATATTTTCTGTGTCTCCGGTATTGGAGTTGCACACATGTTAGGTGTGTAGATTCTAAGAACAAAGATTCAATGATCAACCGCTCTCTCTGTATCTAACTATATTAGTTATTAGAATAGTCGCTTTGTCCCGCCATATTGTGTGGCTGTGTGTTTTAATGTATGCAGTACGATTGCAGAGTTTCCCTTTTTTTAGGGTTACTTATTTTCGTATGGTCAATCATTCTACACTTAGCTAAATGCTTATGTTCTGATAATCTAACCACTCCCAGTCGACTAATCCGATCTCATAGTTATTGTAAGGTATTTTGTAGATTAAATTATTTTATTTAATTAGGTCAGCAGCGTTACTTTAGCCGACAGACCTTATCCCTAAGTGAATTTGTAGGTTTAAATGCCACGATAATTCCTTGTTTATTATTATTATATAAACGAAGTTTAAAAGTTATGTGAATAGTGACTTGAGATGATTATAACCAATGGGCCAAGTTAAACTTTAAGCACCACTAGCTACCAATCAGCGAATGACCTTGAATGGGTCAGTAAGTTCCATCCACGTGAATTGAAGGTTCTATTCCGCTTGATTCGAGTCAAATGCCTGCTCTGACACAGTTGCGCTTGCAGTTTGGTGAGAACAAGGTTTTCCAGTATTGCTTGGATGTGGGGTTGATTAGGAGGGAAAGGATTTGTTCATGTGGAAGTGTCATGAGTATAAAAAGCTTCAGCAGGTTGATTGATGGATATGTCCATCGTTGTGCAATTTGCTTGAGACGAGTTAGTCTTAGGGAAGGTAAGCTGATAATTTTTAATATTTCGTAGGAACATTTTTTGCTAGGTCACATCTCTCCCTAACCCAGATTTTGTATATTTGTAATTACTGGGTTTTAAAACAGCCTGTGTGAGGCGCTGAAACTGCTGAAACTGAAAATAGCCTCGTATCAACAATTCAGTGGTATCAGGACTGCAGAGATATAGAGTCATGGAAAATGGAGAGAATTATTTCGTTATTAGGAGGAGATGTCGTCATAAACGTGGGTGAAACTGTGAGCGTGCAAACAATGTTTGGGTGATCTATAACCTCTCTACAGAAAGAATTCGTTGAGAGAATAGCAGACAGAAAGTCAACCACCTTAGTACCTATTATCACTCGACTGGTGAAACAAGGATCTATAATACACACCGATGAATGAGTGGAAAGGTCATCCCTTGGATATATACATCACAGAGTGAACCATTCTAGTGATTTTGTGGATCCCATTACAGGGACACACATGAATTCTATAGAAGGATTTTGGGGAAGATTGAAAAATAGGATTAGGGCTATAAATGGATCTCAAAAGGATGTCATTTATAGTTATTGGGATGAATATATGTACAGAATGTGGTGTAACTTTTCTATTGATACTCCTATGCTAAACTGGGAGAATTTCCTGTCACATGTCAGAGAAAGATACTCTAGGTAACAGTTTTATTAAGTCTTCTTTCATTTTTTTTATGACCAAAAATGCCTTTTTCATGTGATTGGTTCGTTGAAGGTCGTTCGCTGATTGGTAGTTAGTGGTGCTTAAAGTTTAACTTTGCCAACCAATGAATTGTAGTCAAAACACCATCAGTAAATAATACTTTATCACTGGATAACATGGTCAACTTTTGGCAGGTAAGAAGAACAATGTATTATTATTGATTATTTCCATTGGATTCCGAGTGGAACGCATCTCCACTTTCTTCTATTCTCTGGTCCATGATTGACAATAATCCCCCATCTCCTCCTCGTATGAACTCCTCCATGTCACCCTCCGACCAACGCCCCACTTGCCACTTCCCAATCGGATTCCACTCCAGCGATAGCCTACATTAAGCGCGATGTCATCTGACGGTCTCCTGAACGTATGCCCGATCAATCCATTTCCATTTTCGCTTGTTGAGCAATTAGCTAGTGGGTTGGTTTGTTTCCAGTCAGAACTTCTTGTTGCTGATTCGGCTGTCGATAAAAGCCATGACACGCAGTGCAAGTTTCTGATCCGTATAGAAGAACTGACTGACTGACTTCACATTTGTGGTGAAAATCCGAATCTTGTTCTTTATACTGAGGCAGAGTGCAGGAGATTTCCAAACTGTTTTTAGGTTGATGAAGGTGTAGCTTGCCTTTCCGATTCTGACTGTCTGGCTTTGACATCTTCATCCGTTCCGCCTGCCTGTGGTTGAAACGATGCTTACTGCCTAGATAAGTGAAGGAGGTAACCGCTGTCAAATCTTTCCCGTTGATGGTGATTGGTGCTGGTTGTTGCTTTTGCTGTTGGTTATCTTTGTCAACTCTGTCTTTTCTATGTTCACTTGGAGTCCTGTTGACCACTTCACCTATTTGGGAAGTTGTATCAGCATCAACGGATTTACTGGTGACGAAATCTCAGCACCGATCCAAAAAGCTCGGGCTGCTTTCGCTAACTTACACCATCTCTGGCGTAGGCGTGACATCCGGCTATCAACCAAGGGAAGTGTGTATTGCTCAGCAGTTCACTCCGTCCTTCTCTATGGCTCTGAAACATGGCCAATACGAGTTGAAGACATGAAAACGTTGACTGTTTTTGATCACAGATGTTTACGATCTCTTTCGCACGTTAGGTGGTATAATAAGGTAAGTAATGTTGACGTTAGGCGTAGAGTGTTGGTTGGGCAAAGAGGGAAAATCAATCGAAGAGGCTATAAAGTTACATAGATTGAGATGGCTAGGTGGTCACGTGCTGCGCATGCCGAACCATGGCCTCCCCCGACAGGCATTACTAACTAACTGATATAGGTGCAGGTTGGAAAAGAGTAAGTGGTGGCCAAACAAAAACATGGCCTCATCAATCCATGAAATGCTTGACAGTTAAACTGAGTCAGGTAGGGAGGGAGATGCAGACTTCCGGGTTTGGGCCCACCCTCGGGACTCTAAGAATCAATGGCTGGAGAGAGACAATAGGTGACATGGCTCAAAATCGTTGTCAATGGCTTGCGCAGATGTATTCAGTCACTCGTGTAATCTTTCATATTCCTTTCTACCATTACTCATTCTGTTTCACTCTTATACTTGTCAAAACTCTATTGATTCTCTTCACTCATTTTCTTGTCTACCTTTGTGTGCTATTTGGAACGTGGAAACTCGAAATGCTGCACTTCGGTGCCAAGTTTTATGTTGAATCCAGCCAGCCAGCCTGTCCTCGCTATCTTATTCTTCAGAAAGTTCGTTGGTTTTCGCCTGAGAGTCTACGAGTTTATGTGACATTAAACATAAATCATGCATGCGCGAAATCTAGATCTGTCCAACGTATTATCACGATGACTAATGACATGTAATCTATTTGCCTATATCATTATGTTACGTAGACTCTAAAACAGTTAAAAAAAGCACAGTTCCATTAACCTAATGACTAAAAACAACAACAGACAACAATCAGCATAAATGGGAAGAACCTGAAAGAAACAACCTCCTTTACCTACCTACCTGGAAAGCATCGTTTCAACTACAGGCGGAACTGACGAGGATATCAGAGCGAGAATCGGAAAAGCAAGACAAGCTTTCACTACTCTCAAGCCTGTGTGGAGGTCTACAGCACTCAGCATCAAAAATAAGATCCAGATTTTCAACTAAAATGTGAAGTCAGTGTTGCTTACTATAATGATCAGAGACTTGCACTGCGCGTCATAAAGACCATCTCAAAAAAACTACAGACCTTCATTAACAGTTGTCCTCGCTCAATACTCAAGATTACATGGCCACAAAAGATCAGCAACAGGGATCTCTGGGAGCGAACCAATCAGGAACCGATTGTGAAACAAATAGGCAGGAAGAAATGGAGTTAGGTGGATTGGCCATACTCTGAGGAAACCAGCAAGTGGCATCACTAGACAAGCCATCGCTCGAGTGGAACCCGAAAGGGAAGCGGCGAGTTGGTCGTCAGTGCAAGGGTGACTTGGAGGAGGTCATGTGAAGAGGAGATGAAAACGTGTGGGCAGACATGAAGCCAGTTAAAGACTCTAGCAGAGAACCGAACTCAATGGAGACGCACGGCTGAAGCCATATGTTCCTCTAGGAATTAAAGGATATAATAATAATAATAATGACTACAAACAACGGCTGAAACGTATCGAATGATAATTCCATCTTTATCTTATCCTCCAAGAAGATTAACCAATTCTACGAACAACTGAACCATCATACTTAGGATTTTTTAAAATCTAACTGTACGATTCAACGACACTCGCAAGAGATACTAACAAACAACACAATCCATGAACTCGTGAGATCTTAATAATATTGTTCAACCACAACAAGATCTCGTGGCTGAATGGTTAGTGAGCTTGGATTCGTAAACTGCGAAGATCCGAGGTTCAATCTCTGGTGGAGTCATATGTCAGTGCTGACGAAGAGTCCCAAACCAGGACGAAACAGCTACCTGTCCAGTGCTCTGTGATTATCAATCATCTTTCTAACCAACCGATTTTGGTTCCTGGCGAAATCTACATTGAGAGTCGTCTAAATCCCTACGGAAAAAACTTCTAATCTAAATATTAATCCCCACCTCATTGATGTTTACCGGATGGATGTCGTGAAGTTGTACTGAGAAGTCGTGACCAGTTGGGTCCACCGCATCAAGGTGAAGTGAATACTGATCGAAGACACTGACGAAGGCAATTCTGTGTTAGGAATTGATGAGGTTGGAATTCAAAAGTCACCCCAAGTGGTCGAATGTTCAACGAGCTCGGAGTGGTTACCCGAAGGTCGTGAAATAGCAGTCAAGTGCTTCCTGGTGATTTCTCTCACTGATGTTGGTTTCTGACGTAGAAATCTAACCATTGAAACATAACAATGAACAAGTGTAGAGTACAGTAGAGTATACACACATACAAATAGACTTACAGCTAATTTTTCTAAAGGACGACCCATACAATTTTTAGTATATTCTTGTAGCGCCAGTGTGTATCGATTTTTTGCATCTTGACGATATTCGTCTAAACCGGACATTTTTAGTCGGCGGAGAATATCACATAATCGATGATAATTTTCTGAAAAATAACCGAAAATAAACAAAAAATAATAATAACAATAATGTTTTCTTACAAATTTGTTACTTATATCACAACTTGTAAACACTGAGAACAGGTCACAATACTACATTTCAATGACTACACGCAATATGTGTGGCCATTTCGAACGTTTTTACAAACTACCACAGGTTTGATAATAAGCTGAGATCAGATAGAGAAGCTTTGGAAAACTAAAGAATACAGCTGTACAGCTGTTTCGTCCCTGTTTGAAACTCCTCAGAAATATTCATCAAGCGGGGGTTCTAACCGACGACCATCCAGTTAGAAGGATAGCTCGTAGACCTCTAAGCCGCTATGATAACTCGATATACTTGGCTATGTGTTCCAACTTCTACCAATACACAATATTCACCGTAAACGCCAACCAATGTTCAGTTTTCTATGTGATATCATCTATACTTGATGATGAATTCAGATAGAAAGGTACTATACACAAATCTGTGAGTTTTTCACAAGGACAACTACTTGAACATAGACTTCTCATAAGATGTTACATGAAAGTAGCCCTATTGTCGTTCACATGACAACTAACAGCATGGTAGTAAGATTAAAAATTGAATACGGTAGTAACTGTCATTCATTCAGGGCATAAACAAGAATGATAGTAACAATCTGAGCTAATTACTCATATGAGGTAGCGTCTCCGAACAAAGAGTGATGCCATTTATATGCAACAATAGAATATCTAGTGGAAAAGAGATGCAAGAATAAGATAGCAACATATTGAGAAGAATTGATTCTGTCTGTCTGTTTTCGACTTAGAACTTTGCACCCATGTGCGGCAGTCAAGTCAAGTTCAATTCCCGACCAATAGCTGCTACCTTTACATGGTGGTCGGGCTTGCACATCACAATGACCTAAAAAGCTACACTGACTGGAACCAATGTTCCTGCAGGTCCTACCATGCCATGAACGTTGTTGGGATACCGATTAGGCAAAAAGCAGTAACGGCATATTGTAAGAATTCTTTTTTACACTATGCTGGGAGTCTGTGGGCAAAGTCGTACTACTGGGGAACACGGGTGTAACGGCAGTGAGGTGTTCCCCTCAGATGACCAGCATGCCAGCCAGCTATGCTGCCTCTGCACTCTGGAGAGACAGGATTAGAAAAGGTCGATCCCAACAGTTGTACATCCCGACTTACCCTACGGTGGTCCGTAAACGGCGGTAAGTTTACTAATACGGAACCAAACCAAGAAACCAGTTCATACAGGCCGTAGGTGACCGGCCGGCCTCAAGCAGTTGTCCCCTGGGCTCTGTGGTCATGCAATAATAACCGTGTCTCTGTTTCAGGTACTCGAAGAATCAATCAACTTCCACGGTGTGGGCAGCCGGGAAGTAACAACCACCCACACTTTTCCTGAAGAATTGATTAATAAGATGTCATGGACACTGGAGTTTGAAAGGAGAGATGCGAGTGCGCTTTCTGAAGGATAATGAAACTTTCAACAGTGTCCGACACAGCAAGCATTGAATAAATTAAGGAGTCCTCGGGGTTTGGTTAAGTTGAAGATTTGCTGGTTGGTTATGTTACTAACACTAACGAATTTCCTGCGACGTGAGTTACAAGTCTTCGACAAAGATCTAAAAGTACAGCCGTTAGCTTAACGATTCATAGAATGCATCCCTGCAGCTATCACATCCACCAGCTAGTGTTAGTAGATGTGTGGTGACAGCTGTCTGCTACACAAAATTTGTAGACAACAATTGACGTCAATGTTTACTTCCAAAATCTCGGTCATGAGAAAAAGACAAGAACAAAGACTAACTCAACAACACATCACAGAGGACTTTGTGTGGACAGATACGATTCGCAGATATATATCAACGGACTGTCTAAGGAACGACAACACAGAGATGACAGAATAACCTTCAGCAGGAAAACAACCAATCAGAAGACGTTGCTTCTCTGCTAACAATAACGCTAATTATAACAATGTACATAAAAATCTATAAATATCTGTTGATTTTCTCAATAAACGATCTGTTGACTGGCCCTTGTCTTCTGTTGATACAGATGCAGTTCAACCTATGAACATCGACAAACTGTTGAAGATCACAAAACTTTCCTCCCAACATATTACTTATATGTCTACAAGTAGTAGACACTACAATTATACTAGTACACATATGTTTTTGGGAAGTGTGTGGGCGGTTGATACTTCCCGGTTGCCCACACCGTGGAAGTTGCCTGATTCTCCGAGTACCTGAAACAGAAAGAGGGTTAGTGTTGCGTGACCGCTGAGCCCAGGGGACAACTGCTTGAGGCCGATCACACACGGCCTGTATGAACTGGTTTCTTGGATTGCTTCCGTATTAGTAAACTTACCGCCAGTTACGGACCACTGTAGGTGGGGTAAGTCAGGATGTACAATTGTTAGGGTCGACCTTTTCTAACCCCCTCCCTCCAGAGTGGAGAGACAGCATAGCTGGCTGGCATGCTGGTTATCTGAGGGAAACACCTCACTGCTGTTACATCCATGTTCCCCAGCAGTAAGACTTTGCCCACAGACCCACAACATAGTGTAAAAAGAAAAATTCTTACACTAAGCCGGTAACTGCTTTTAGTCTAATCGCTATCGGAACAACCTTCCTGGCATGGTAGGACCTGCAGGAACATTGATTCCAGCAAGAGTTGCTTGTTGGGTCATCGAGATGTGCAAGCTCGACCACCCCGTCAAGGTAGCAGCTATCGGTCAGGAATACCCATGTCACAAAGTATAAGAGAAATTTTGAAGTGTACATATAAAACCTTTTATAAATGATAAAAAAATAATAATAAGACGAAAGAACACATACCTAGTTGAACTACTTCACCGGGTGTTTTAAAACTTTCTGATGCCACTCGATCAATTTCTGTCATCAAAGAGCGGACTAGCTCACCATGAGCACGTTCTAAGTCAACTAGACGTGAACTTGTTGCAAACACGGTGATAGAACATTCTGCAAATTCAATATACGTTCTCACGATAGTGAGAATACCACATCGAGCTTTACGACTTGGTTTACTCATTTTAAATGTCATAATTAATCGTTCCTGTGGATAAAAAGAAGGGGGAGAAGAAATAAAACAGCATTAGATTTAGATGAATAAGATTCAGATTGTCGACAATAATGTTAAATTAAGCCTTCTAAGACAAGTCCTCCAAAAACTTGACGTGTTGCCCAAAGTATTTCAGACAAGCTACTGTTTTTACTGCATATTGGGGAACAAATGACCAGTCAGAAGAGACAAACAACAAGAAATGAAATATCCCCATATTGAAATCAAAACAAGATTTTGAGCGAACAATTGTTTTCGATAACTTCTTCAGGCTCTACAGTTATAAATCCATGAATAATAGGGTACATATAGCCAATAAAGGCAAGTGAAAATAATATCTCAACAAGAAACTCTGGCAGTGCAGAGAATCAGCCACCGACCAGTTATCCGACAAATAGGTTTGTCTATCTGTTTTGAATTGAGGGAGGGAGTGGATGTTATGTCTTTTGACGGCTAATTTATGATCATAGATACGAAGACGAAAGGGACGTTGTTCACTTTCGCCAATGTAGTGTTTTTCTCATTTGTAGATAATGTTGGTTTGAACTTCTTTTGCTGTCGAGTCTTTTGGTCGACAAAGAAGTGAGTGAAGTGATTTTGTTAGTTTGTGTGCAACGTCAAATCTTAAAGGTTTGAATTGTCCTGCAGAAATCACTGCAAGACTTCGTATCCATGATCATCAACTAGCCGTCAAAGGACAAGACATCCACTCATTCATATCACTCACTACATACAGACAACCACGGACATCAATTAGACTGGGGCAGCGTTCAAATATTAGACAGAGAAAAACAACCAAGAATGCTAGAGAATTTCTGGAAGCCAGCCTGGTATTCCAGTGAATCGTCAATCAATAGACACATCGAGATAGACAAAATTCACTAACCGATAAGAAGGAAATCTCACACACAAAGGGGCAAAATTCAAGTCAAAGAAACAACAATTCCCATACAAGTAACCTAGAAGGTGTGAAATCACACAAAAACAACCAATCAAGTCCAAGGGCACCAGTAGAGATGACTAATAAACTTGTGGAGAAATCTAAAAGCTCACTTCAATTCAAATCGAAGTATGCGCTGAAGATGTCACCTAGTAGGGTGATGAAAGCTTCGCAAATTAACTATCCAGCTCAGACAACACAACCACCCCAGAATCATCCACCTGAGCTACAAAAATGGAGATGCATCGGGGGGACACACACATTGAGGAGATTGCTGAGAACCTGAATAGGGAACTAGTTGAGCGTTCAACCTCGGGGTGACATGGAGAAGACCTTGTACGGAGAAGATGCGAGTTTATGAACCATCATGGGACCAGCCGTGCGTTACACCATTCAGGACCCAACATAATAACAATCAATAATTTAAAAAACACCAGATATTATGATAAATACATGCCATTTTCACCGAAAAAAAAAACTAGAGAATAAATGTCCTTCAATACTCTCACAATCAATAAAGAATAATTTCATGGAAATGCCACTTACAATAAGACGATTAAATGCTCTCTTGGTTTCAACAATAAGTCGTGATAAGAAATTACCAATAAATGTCAATTGTACTTTGGTCACATCTGATGATGCTGATTGTTGTGACTGTAACTGTTTTGCATTGCCTCCAGTCATCTCGACTATCCCACTATTCTGAGCGGATTCATTCTCTGTGATACGTGAAATTGATATAAGTAATGGCATAATAAGAATTGTTAATAGCTGTTCACAATTTACAACTAAATTCAGCACATCTTGTT